TTGCTCTATCCAATTTATAATACGGGTCATTGGTCTGGAAACTGAATACATAATATCGAGAGTACCCGAAGGTTGAACTATTTTTATGCCTTCGTCTCGTGGAGATAACGTATGATGAAAGGATCAAATTGCATGGTAACCATATCGTTGATAGGTAGCTACTTTGCTGAATCCGAATCTATCAGGTGGCCACGATGCCTTGCTAGGGGCCAATCTTGGTCTGTGTATTAGTGAGACGATTAATTGGTGTTAATCGCGATACTATACACTGCCGATATGATGAGGAGCCTATGGGTCACACACATAGACGATAATTTAAGATCCAAGAAGAAAGATGGGTGTTTTCGTCTTTTAAGGCGAAAGGTTATTTTGGTAATTTCACAGTGCAATTAAATTTGCTGAGGTCGTAGCCTTTATTTAATTTGTTAGAAAAATTAAATAAGTGAAATTACGTTTAAATGTGTGTTCGTACATATTTAAATATATTATCATTATTGTTAAATGTTAATATATATTTAAATATATATTAATTGATTTTAATTGAGATAATGATGGAAAAAATAAAATATCAAATTGGGAGTGTTTGGCAACATGGGGCGTTTGGGTTGGAGCCCAAGCCTATTCCGTATGGGATAAGGGCAAATTGGTTTTACTATAAAAGAAAAGTTAAATGTAAAAGAATGGTGTTAATTAATTTGAGTTCAATTTTCTTTGTAAAACCAAAACACAGCAGCCCCCATATTGACTCTCCCACGGCAGATTCATTTTGCCTAGAAATCAATTTAATTGATTTTCCTTTCTTCTTAATCTTGAAGCCAAAGAGAATCTAGCAAATCCCTCTTTGGTTCTTTTGAGATTGTCTTCGTGTGGACTATGCAGGTTCGATCCTACACTGGGATCGATAGCAAAACATTCGTCGACAAATTTGGAGGAGCCTCCAACGTGCGTTTGTTTTCTTTAAACTCAGATTTATTTTTCTGCAGATTTTATTTAATATGAATTTTAAAATTATACCCTTGATCTTAGCTCATGTAAACGATCTCTATATAATATTTGTTTTGTTTCTGCTGCGTATATGAGACCGTTTACTAACATGTGGTTGTTTGGTTGTTGAATTGCAGTTGCTGCCTTTGGAGGAAAGGGTGAAAATGGATCGAACCCTTGCATTTCTTCGGTGGATGAAACGTAAAACTCATTTGAGGATGATCCTCCGAATGCATTATTTCGAGAATCCATTATGAATTTATGATAAAAGAATAAATAATTAAAATTAAAAAAATTAAATAATAATATGAATAAGAGATGATATTGAAAAATAGAAAAAAAGGAATAATATAAATAAATAAATTATAATATGAATAAATTATAATTATAAATTGAATGAGAATTTGATTAGAGATTTGGAGTAGAGAGTAGAGAGATTGAGTGGTGTGGAAAAATGAGAAATTTAGGGAATATTTATAGTGTAGCATAGGGGCCCCTGACCGTTGGCCACGTGACCATTGGCCATGTGACCATTGGCTGCTAGCCAACGGTTATTAAATGCAAATTTTTTTTATTTCTTTTTTAAAATTTGGTAAAAAAAAAATTTAACCACTATAATTTCTGTATATTTCAAAATTCACAAGGGGTTTTAGTAATTGTTCAAGGGGCTAAAAGAGAAAACCAAAATGGTTTGGGCCCGGGCTTGGGACTGTAGGAGGGCCTAGTGGAGGGATCGAGCCCTCCTCCTTAGGCCTAGTCCAGTTTTGGGATCAGGCTTACTAGGACTGGGTTTTTGGACCTGGTCCTAAATGCCCAGCTCTACCTCTATGCATTGAGACACGTGGCCAAGATAAGGTGTGAAAAACCTTCATGCATCATAGCTTGAAATCTTACTGGTGAAGATGAGGTGTAGTCAAGATGACATCATAGCTTGAAATCTTATTGGTGAAGTAATCTTTTGTAGATATACACATGAAGTTATCCTTTGAGGGAGTGACACACAGCCAAGTGATAATGCACTTTTAATCTTATCTTTGAAGTAAGTCTCTCATGGGTTGACACACAAGTTGGAGAGATTCGGCACATGGGCTAAATCCACTCTATGTTGATTTACTGCCCAACAGTATTAAATTAAAATTTTCAAAGCAGATTATAGAATAATTAAATTTTTAAAAGCTACCCCTGCCAATTTTAAAAGTTGCTTTCTTAAGCTATAACAATCCTGAAAACACTCATTGTTGTTTTAATTATAAATGACCTATATACCCGTCCTTTATTAAAGCTATTTGTGGATCACTAGTATTGGGATGGTAATGTTAATTTCCAAAAGTTAGGGGGTTTTAGGAGATGTTAAAAATGGGTACTCAAATTCCAGTATTTATGGTACTTAAGCAAAAGTTTTCCCTTTAATATTCTTATAAGAAGCTAAGGTTGGTGTATTCTTTTATACAATTATTGCCCAAGTCAGCACTGACGTTAACCAATTAACGTGATCCAAATTCGAAAGATCCAACTCCACCTCAATTCTTTTATCATATAATTTGAATGTGGCACTCACGCACGCGCACGCACGTACACACACACACATATATATATATATATATATATAACACACACACACACACACATATATATATATATATATGTGTGTGTGTGTGTGTTATATATATATATATATATATATATATGTGTGTGTGTGTACGTGCGTGCGCGTGCGTGAGTGCCACATTCAAATTATATGATAAAAGAATTGAGGTTATATATATGTAAGTCATCTAATAAGAAATTGTTATATCAAAACTTTTGATTTATATTTATCCTATCTCTTCATGGGTATATTTTTTTTTTTATCTTCATGTAAATTTAATTAAAATGTTTTTATATAATTTTTTTTAATCTAAACATGCCCTCTTATTTACCTTTAGCCGTCTAATTTATTTACTTAATTTTTCTGTTTTGTAATCTTAATAAATAATAACTACTCTTTTTTTTTTTTTTTTTGGAACTAAATTATAGAAGAAATTTGTGGTCATTTGAGAATAATTGCATATAGTAATGTCATTGATATTGGGCATAGAACTCATCACATCCAAATTTATTTATTATAATTAAAGTAATACCACGCCCATAATTTAATTTCACAACCTTTTTTTACAATCCCAACGAGACATTTGAGTTGACAACTATCATGTTAGTTTCTATCACACTCAATACACTAAATAAGTTTAACTAAACACAAACGGTCGTTTTCTAGGGACGAATGACCATTTTTTCATAGGAAATGTATGTTCCTTATGAATGAAATGGTTGTTCCTTCAAAATGAATAATCATTCCTTATAAATGAAACAACCATTCCTTATGAATGAACGATAGTTTGTCCTCAAGAAACGACCATTCGTATCTAAAGATAACTATTCATGTTTAGTTAAAGTAGTTAATTAATGTGATAGTACCAATTCTGCTGTCATGTTAGAATTGTAAGAAAAATTTTTGAGATTAGATTGTATTCGTAATATATATATATTTTTTTTTTTTTGGTTAAAATTATAAGACTTAGAAAGGAACAACTTCAGACATTGGTGAGGCAGCTGTGGTTTTCGTTCCCTGTGCGTTAGCTTTGAGCTATTTTCAGTCACATGTCCTTCACATATAAGACAAGTTCACCACTTCACCAAAAACGAATAAATAATAAAACAAGTAAACTTCCAAATACTCCTTTAAATTTTGTATAAAAGTCCATGGATTTTTAGAAAATTTAAACCAAATCTTAAGAGTGTCCATGAAATTTATTTTATTTAAAAAATTTAATGAGTTCCCATAGTTAACCTTTTTCATTAACCATGGCTTTGGTGTTGTTTTAACCAATTTTTCTTGATATCAAGAAAGTTTTAGCAAATGTTAAAACTACGTTTCCTTCATTGTAAAATAATACTACGTTTTCTTATTCTAAGAAATTTAAAAATTATAACAATATTATGTTTCCTTATTATATAGCTTAATTTTTGTATAAATAGACTATGTATACACAATTCAATTCAATTAAATACAATTAAATTCATCTAACAATATCTCTTGGGAATACTCTGACCATTTTAGGTGCCTCTCTTTTCCTCTCTAAGATATCTCGGGCATTCTTCGGCTTTTTTCAAATTGCCTCTTTTGCCTTCTCAATTTTCACATAATACTAGAGCTTCCAGATTGAATTAGCTTCCGCTCTACTAGCCTCTCTTATTTGTCCCTACAATTCAAACATATATTCGGTTAGCACAATACTCATCTATCCTCTCTTTTTGTCATTGCAATTCAAATAAATACTCGGTTAGATTTTTCCAATAGCAAACAACCAAAACTCAAGACACAATCAACTACTCCAGATGTTGAATCAGCTCTTGGCCATCAATGCGACAACCACGTATATAAGCAACATTCGCATCTATTATGCAAGCTTGTGGTTTATGACCACAAGCTTGAGGGGGAGTGTTGAAGTGCAAAATAAAATACAAATAATATGTTTCCTTAATTGTGAAACAAATATTATGTTTCCTTATTATATAGCCTAATGTTTGTATAAAGCCGTGATGTATACACAATTTTTGATATCTTACATCGAGAAGAAATTATAAAAACCATATATGTTTGATTGTATGAGCATTAAATTATTTAGTTATATCATATTTTTAGGTGTATTTATTATGTAAAATATGAATTTATTTATTTAAAATATTTTTATTTTCAAATCTAAGATAACTTGGGTAGAAAATAGACATAGAGTGGACCAAACCTTGAAAGACCTCGAGAAAAAATGTTTAGTCTGAGATTTTTGCAGCTTTTGCATAATCATTTATAAATCACTTTTAAAATAATCAATTTTTGTTAAAATCTATTAAATGTTTGTTCCTGTTAATTTAGGAGTAAAATGACTAAAATAGGTTTCTTCTTTTAATAAGTTCTTTTCAATTTTAAATATATTAATCTTAATGTGTTCAAATAATTAAAAAAAAAAAAAAATGGAAAAACTGGTCGATGAATTCGGTGGCTAGGCACAGCACACCGTCATCGATGATAAGTCCAACGACACCGATGGCACCATTGAGATCGGTAACCAGGGATCTATGCAACGGTGCCAACATCGTAAACTGAAAACAAAGTCGTTTGGTCGTAGAAGAGAAAGGTTCAGCCAAATTTTGTCGGCCGTTGTAGCCTTTGGCCCCTACAAGCATGGAGATTAACAAAACAGTCCCTACAAATTAGGTTTGTCATCTTCATGTTGAAACCCATGACTTAAGATTCCAGGGTCGGAAGTGTCATAGAGTAACAATCCCATTGTCCACCATGTTCTGGTAGCTTGTCGGCGACCCAAATCGGCGTTCTAGTGTCGTCAAAGTCGTGGGCCATAGTGTGAAACTCACCATTGGAGGTGCCGCCTTGCTACGTCGTTAAGGTAGAAGCTTGGGTGCTCTCACAAGGAACTCACAGGCGACGGGCAAGCTTGAGTAGCCGCCTTGGAAGGCCGCCATGGAACGACAGTGTAAAACGGCTAGTTGGCAGTGCTAGGGTTTCAACATGAAGATGACGACCTATTTTGTAGAGACTGTTTTATCAATTTTCATACTTGTTGTGGCCAAAATGAAAAGAAGAAAGCAAGAAAATGGAGGGGGAGAAAGAGGAGTTCTTCATTGCTTTCATTGACTCACTCTACTTTGGTAATGTTGTGTTATTATTTTCATGGGGATGGGGTGTCATTTGTAAAAAAATATAAATTTTAAGGACCATGCCAACCACTTTACTTTGAGACTTTTCTTCATGTTTCGCTTCTTCTTCTTCTTCTACTTGTACGCTGAAGAAATACCGCAGTGCTAGAGCTTAAAGAGGTTTTCTTCTTTCTTCTCATCCTTGTTAGTTAGATTGTTTTGTGGGTGGTGGTGTTGTGATTGGTTGGTTGCTAAAAAATTGTTATAGAGAAAATAAAAATGATTCTGGGTTTAGGGTTTTACGTTGTTTGGAGGATGATAGAACTAGAACTTTGAGTGGCTGAATTGGGTTCTTTCGTTTGGATAATAGTAAACATGTAAATCGATATTTTATTTCTTTTCCTCTGTTTTCTCTGTAAGTTTGTGTACAACGATGATCCTTTTGGCTTGAAATCCATATAGAACTCAAAAGTCCAAATGTTATCTCAATACTTTTAACTTCTGAAAAGGTTACGACTTCTTTTCCTTTTCTGATTTTATATTGTTTTTAAGATTGTATTCGAAAACTGTTTTTGGAATTATTGTTTAAACTCAGTTCAACCACACGCGTTTTCATAAAATTTTCTTTCATTTTCGTTTTATCAATCAATCAGGCAATTGGGAAAAGTTTAAATAGAGATTGGTTTTTATGTTATTTTGTGTTGTGATCATGCAAATTTAGCTGCAATTTGTAGCATCATTTTATTTTTTTTGTTTCTAGTTTTAATTATGAACTTGGTTTATTGTTCTGGCAGGTAGTCCATTGTGTGGAGCAGTGAAGCAATTGCTGTAGTAATTGAGTGAGTACATCTACTAAACTCATTTCACATTTGATTCGAATCATAATTTACAAGATATAATGAATGTATAACTTGAGTTGTGAATCTTTTTGCAGGTGATAAAAGATGGGTTTTGAGCCATTGGAATGGTACTGTAGGCCAGTGCCAAATGGGATTTGGGCAAAAGCAGTGGATGTGCATACACAACTTGTGCAGTTGATTCTCTAGTCATTTCCATTTCTCATTTGGTTCTTTTTGGCCTTTGCATTTATCGAATATGGCTTCTTAGAAAAAGTTCCAAAGCCAAAAGGTTTCGTTTGAGTTCGAATTACTACAATTATATTTTAGGATTGTTGGCAGGTTACTGTACAGCTGAGCCTCTACTAAGATTGGTGATGGGTATTTCTATCTTTAACTTGGATGGAGAGACTAGTCTTGCTCCTTTTGAGGTGGGTGTTTCTTGTATTTTTTTTTATTGTTCTGTTCTGTTCTGTTTTGTGTTGTTTTGTTTCATTTTAGCTTCTCTGGCTTCTTGTTGTGGCTTTTGTCTTTCAAATTTAGCATGTGCACACAAAATCAAATGTACTGAAAATTGATGTTTTTGGCTACAATCTACTACTGACATTAGTTAGAATGTTCAAAATCATGAATTGCATTATCTTTAAATTTTACGCTTTCCATAATCACCTCACGATCTGAATCCATCGTACTGTTTTCTTTGCTTTCCATAATCACCTCACGAGCTGAATCCATTGTTCTGTTTTCTTTGGCTAGATAGTGCTAGACATCAATAGGTTCATGCATTGAAGATTTGAAATACAAAAGTGTAGTAGACAATGCCAATGTTTATGGATTGCCAAAAGCAATCTAATTAGTTAAATCGTATCAGAATTAAGCTCTTTCCTTTGTTAATTGGACGGTTAGGCAATAACATTTGTTTCCTAATATGTGATCAATGTCTGATGTTACAAAATCATTTCAATTCTAATTGTTGGTATTTGAGTTATATGCTACGAGCAATACTTTGGCCTCCTTTACTTAAGATATTCAAAGTAATTGTACTTTCTCTTGCAGATGGTTTCTTTGATGATTGAGGCTCTTGCTTGGTGCTCTGTGGTTGTAATGATTGGTTTGGAAACTAAAATATACGTCCGTGAGTTTAGGTGGTATGTGCGATTTGGAGTCATTTATGTTTTGATAGGGGATGCTGTGGTGCTAAATCTCATTCTTCCAATGATGGATTACTACAATAGGTTAGTTTTTTCTCCATATCACTAAATGAATTACTTGTTCGCCTAAATCTCATTCTGAAGTGAAATATCTCTTATACTAAAATTTATGGTTTTATTACTCAATGCTGATCTACTCTCTATTTGTACATCAGCATGGTCTTTTGCCAGGTTTGTTTCCTCTTTATTTTCTTTTCCTCTTGTGAAGGTTACAAGGTCTATCACCACTTCTTGTTCTTGTTTTCCTTTGCGCTCAGTTACACTGTCATAGTTCTTAACGGTCTTTGTACTGAGGTGCCAAATTGGGTTCTGCTTCAGGCTATTTAAAGACATGTTCCTTGACCGTGAAAGACCCAGGGACCCGAAGCCCTTTTTGGCCTGATCTAAATAATTGTATAAGAAGTAGATAAATTGAGTATATACAAAAATGAGTTATTAAATTTCTGTTTTTGATGAGAGAGTGTCAAGTATAGTTTTGAGGCAAGGGCCTCAAAAACTGCATATTCTCTGGTTATGGACACTTGATATTTGACATGTATTTGTCAAACCAATATCAGCATGGCTGTTGCTTTTCTTGTTAACCAACACTTACTGAAATGTATATGTCAAAGAAATATCAGCATGATAACTATTATAGTTTCCCGGCTTGCTGAATTTACATAGTGGACTCCTTCAAGGGTCTTGACCTCATTTCTTGTCTAGTAAATGGCCTGACTAGTCCCTATACTGGGACTGCTTGGTAATCCACTGCAACACTTTGTTCTGGGCAAATGTAACTCTGCCAAGAATGTGTTCAAAATGTCTTTCGAGGTTACATCATAAAATTTGTACTCAACTGCTTTTCAGTGATCAGAGGTGGTCAAGTTTTATAGTAGCAGATTTTATTAACCTTAGCTTGTTTCTTTATTCATTTTAAAGCTTGTTAATCAATATGGTTGTGTCTATTTTCTGATGTAGGTTTTATTTGGGATTCTTCTTTTTGCTTATGTTCCCAATTTGCAATCTCATCCGGGTTACAACCTGCTGCAAGATGAATCCCTCGATAATGTTGAATATGAAGCACTTCCTGGAGGAGAACATGTATGTCCTGAGAGGAGTGCCAGTATACTTTCCAGTAAGTAGTTCCTGAATTGACTTTTCTTGTTTCTTGGAAAACCATAATTTTCGAGGGTTGAAGATATCCTGACTTATTTTTGTAGAAGGGGGAAATAGTAGGCATTTGTGGCCGGATTGCCACCAGTCTACATTTGTAATTCAACGAGCATTAATCTTTAGGTGTTTTAAGTTTCACAATTATCTATCATGTTTCTTAGCTGACTTATAATTATAAGAATTCGGTTTTCCCATTTATGTAATGCGAGATGAAGGTTTTTATAACCTGATGCTTATAGTTATTCACTGACATTTTGGTGCATTGCCTTCTTTTAGGCATATATTTTGGATGGATGACTCCACTTATGCGGCTGGGATATAAGAAACCTATTACTGAAAAGGATGTTTCGAAGTTAGATACTTGGGACCAGACTGAGACTCTGACAGAAAAGTTCTCATCTGCTGCTTTCCTTGGATTTTCTTCTGCTAGTATTTACATTACTGTATTGTACATATTTCAACTGGATGACACTAAAGGGATGGTTTGACATTTTTAGGTTTCAGAACTGTTGGGTTAAAGATCTCAAAGGGCTAAACCCTGGCTTTTAAGAGCACTGAATAGTAGCCTTGGTGGGAGGTAATGGATTGACCTACATTGTTTATGCTTTTTCAGTTTCAATTAGACATAATGCTCTTTTGAGAGCAGAGATGCTTTTATCTCTGTGTCTTCCGCTATCTCATTTTATTCCTTTTGTATCATTATCTTTAGGTTCTGGTTGGGAGGTTTTTTCAAGTATCGAGCTCATTCTCTGTTCTTCTTTTAGGAGATTTTCTCCAAATTTATCAATTCCCTAGGAGAATTTTCTCCATATAACTGGCTAAAAAGGTGTCGCAAAAGTTGTCATTCTCACTTGCACCTAGAAACATTAATCAATTCTTACTTCACATGGATTGATGTCAAGTCGTTGATACTTCATCTTAACATTACTCCTTGTGAGCTGATTTTTTTATTTTTTTTTTTTTTTTTAAATATTCTACAGCATTAGTGTAACAATCTTAGTTTCTTGTAAATTGTTAGAACCATGTTTATATACAGTAAAGGGTAAAGGGTATACTTGTAATTATATTGTGTGTGTATATATTTGAGTTAGGGTGTACTATTGATATTAAGAGAAATAGAAAGTAACATGGTTATCAGAGCCTGAAACGCGTAAACCCTAAACCCATTTGCGTGATTCAGTTTTCCGGCGACGTCTGGCTTATTCTCTGGTTTTTTCGGCGACGTCTGGCTTCTTCCTTGGTTTTTCCGGCGACGTCAGACCCCTCTTTGTGTTTTCCGGCGACGTCAGACCCTTCCCATTTGCGTGATTCAGTTTTCCGGCGACGTCTGACGCCTTCCTTGCGTTTTCCGGCGACGTCAGACCCCTTCTTTGCGATTTCCGGCGAAGTCTGACCCCTCTCTGTGATTTCCGGCGACGTTAGACCCCTTCCCTCTTCTCCGCGACGTCTGACTCTACTCTTCATTGTTCTCTTTGTTTTTCCGGCGAGTGCTGACTCTGAGTGTTGGTTCTCCTCTGATTTTTTGGTTTGGCGCAAAAAAAAAAAAAAATTTTTTTTTGCAGGTCTTCTGTCCAAAATATGGTGCTGTGTTTGTGTGAAAATGGGAATGCTTTGTGTTGGCTGGGCGTTGAAATGTGATACCAGCGTTGTTCTGAATCCTGGTGTGTTTGAGTTGTTGTGCTTGCTTGGGTGGTTTGATTTGTTGTGCTTGATTGGGTGGTTTGAATTGTTGTGAATCTGTTGAGTTACGGTTCTTTGCTGGACAGTATGGCTGCGGACGGTAAAGGTGGTGACTGAAATTGTCACTTCCTCCACCAAAATTACTGATTGGAAATTATTGGGAAAGAAGAATTATATTCAATGGAAGCGAATAATCCGACGATATGTGCCAGCATTGATTGGGAGACCATTTAATCAGGATCCACCTAGGCAACAGAGGATGACAGTAAAACTCGAAAGAGATGGCTCATGAAGATGATAAGCTTTTCAATCAGATTCAGAATACTCTTGATTCGTCCGTGGATGATGATTGGTCACTGTGATACAGTCAAGAGTTATGGGAGTATCTAGAGTTTTTGTATGCTGGTAAACAAGACTTGTCTCATGCCCACGAATTGTTATTAAAGATATATCGAGCAACTATGCAAGAGAAGACACTGCTCGAATATTATACAGAGATAAACAAGCCTTTGAAAAAAAAGGGCTATGTTTCCTGTTCCTACTGACGTGAAAATGATGCAAGCACAAGAAGAACAGTGGTTGTGCAATGTTTTCTAGCTGGGTTGAGACCGGAATATGAGATAGCTCGTACACAACTTCTCACCGGTGAGACATTTCCCTCTCTTACGGATGTCTTTGCTCGCCTTCTTAGAGTTAGTAAGGGGGAAGATCGAGGATTGTCTAAGGACAAGGAAACTTTCAAGGATCCTAATGTTGATCATGCGGCCCTAGCTAGTATGAAGTCTAGTGATAACAAAGGTAACAAAGGGACAAGCGGGATCCTAGGAACAATCGTGTTACTGGCCCTCGTACTTGCTTTCACTGTGGTGCTGAGGGTCATGTCAAGAAAAATTGTTGGAACTTCATGGCAAGCCCCTGACTATGCAAGCCACTCAGAAGTTTGCTCATGTTGTAACTCAGGATGGTCTTTTACCCACCCCATCACAGATTACTATCTCCGCAGTAGAATATCCTCGTCTCACTCAGAATGCTTGCTCCCAGTCATCCTCCCATCGACCACCACTACTTTAACCCAGTTAGGTAATCCTACAGTCTGCTTGTCCACTTCTAGTACTCGGGTTATTGATTCTGGTGCTACCCCCCATATGACAGGCGATACAGGTATTCTCTCCTCATTTTCACCTTCTCCTAATTTGTCTTCGGTCACTTTAGCTAATGGGTCTACTGCACCTACCATTGGATGTGGTACCGCCCATCTCAACCAATCTCTATCTCTTTCCTCTGTCTTGTGTCTTCCCCATTTTCCTTTTAATCTTTTATCAGTTAGTCAATTACTAACGCATTCAATTGTGGTGTTTACTTTTTTCCTACTCATTGTATTTTCAGGATCTTGGGACGAGGCAGATTATTGAGGGGTCGTGTATCAAGTGGCCTGTATATGCTCGATGATGTCTCCATCCTATCTCTCAACCTATTGCGTGTACCAGTGATTCATCTCTATCCGTACTGCATGGTCGCCTTGGTCATCCTCCCCTTCCCATTTTGAAAAGGCTGTATCCTAATGTCGGGTCAGTGTCACACCTTGAGTGTGAGGCGTGTCATTTTGGAAAACACCATAGAGTGTCCTATAGCCCTAGGATAAACAAAGAGCCCAGCCCCTTTTGATGTTATACACTCTGATGTTTGGGGTCCTTGCCCTGTGTTGTCAAGGTCTGGATATCGATATTTTGTTATTTTTTGTGGACGATTTTTCACGTGTAACTGGTTGTATTTTATGAAAATCGTTCTGAAATATTCTCCATTTTTTGTACCTTTTATGCAGAAATACAAATCAATTTACTTCATCTATTAAAATTCTCCGAAGTGATAATGCCAAAGAATACTTTTCTGCTCCTTTCTCTTCCTTTTTGTCTGCTAGAGGTATTATTCATCAGTCATCATGTGTTTATACACCTCAGTAAAATGGAGTTGCTGAACGCAAAAATCGTCATTTATTAGAAGTTGCTCGTACTCTCCTTTTTCACATGAAAGTCTCTACAGCATTTTGGGCAGATGCTATCTCTACAGCATGTCACTTGATCAATCGCATGCCTTCTTCTGTTTTGGGCGGTCAAATCCCGTTCTCCATCCTTTTTCCATCACAGCCTTTATTCTCTCTTCCTCTTAAAGTGTTTGGTGCACGTGCTTTGTTCAGGATGTTAGACCTCATGCATCCAATTTGAACCTAGGTCCCTCAAGTGCATATTCTGGGTTATTCCCGATATCAAGGGTTATCGTTGTTTTTCTCCTGTCCTAGTAAGTATCTCATCTCAGTTGATGTTTCCTTTTTTGAAACCACTCCATATGTTGAGTCCTCCACTTCATCTACTTCTCTTGAGCACCCCCTGATGATTTTCTTGTTTACCACATTACCCATCATAGTCCTCTACCATCTCGTCCTCCTATCACTCATGGTATACTTTCGCAGAGTTCACCCATGCATGAGACTCCTGCAGCAACATCTGATCCACTGCCCCTATCGACTGCCTCGTCCTCTGAGCCGTTTCCGCCATCCTCTGACCATGATCCTGATCTTCCCATTGCTCTTCGTAAAGGTAAGCGTTCTTGTACCTATCCTATCTCCTCATTTGTTTCCTATCACTCTCTGTCTTCATCTTCCAAGTCTTTTTATTGCCTCTTTAGACTCTGTGTCTGTTCCCAACTCTGTGTCTGAAGCAATTGCTCATGATGGGTGGCGACGGGCTATGGAAGAAGAGATGTTGGCTCTAGAACATAATGATACATGGGTTCTAATGGGGTTGCCTGAAATAAAAAGCTATTGGGTGCAAATGGGTTTTCACATTGAAGGCTAATCCTGATGGGACTGTAGCTCGGTTGAAGCTCGTTTGGTTGCTAAAGGTTATGCCCAGACGTATGGTATTGATTATTCTGAGACATTCTCCCCAGTGGCTAAAATGACCTCTGTCCGACTATTCATTTCTCTTCTTGCAGCTTCAAATCGTTGGCCTCTTCACCAACTTGATGTAAAAAATGCCTTTTTACATGTGATCTTATTGAAGAGGTTTACATGGAGCAACCTCCGGGTTTGTTGCTCAGGGGGAGTTAGGAAAGGTATGCAAATTGAGGAAATCTTATATGGCTTAAAGCAATCTCCACGGGCGTGGTTTGGGAGGTTTAGCGAAGTGGTGACTCAGTCTGGTTTACATAGGAGTGCTTATGATCACTCTGTCTTTTATAAGCATCGGAGTTCTGGCATCATTCTTTTGGTTGTTTATGTTGATGACATTGTAATCACTGGCAGTGATGATGTTGGCATTCAGAGTTTGAAAAACTGTTTGGCTTCCAAATTTCACACAAAGACTTGGGTACTTTAAGGTATTTTCCGGAGTTGAGGTTTCTCGGAGTAAGAAAGGGATTTTTTCTCTCTCAACGCAAGTATGTGTTAGATGTGTTGACTGAAATGGGTCTAAGTGAGGCTAAGCCTTGTGACACTCCTATGGTTCCTAATGTGAGATTGAATGCTGAGGATAGAGAGATGTTTGGTGGATCCAGAGCGGTACAGACGGATTGTTGGGAAAAGGTAACTACCTTACAGTAACCCGTCCAGATATTGCGTTTTCATGAGTGTGTTAGTCAGTTTATGTCTTTCTCCTAGGCCATCACATTGGGATGCGGTCCTCCATATCTTGAAATATCTAAAAGGAGCTCCTGGACGTGGGATTCTTTACAGTGACCATGGTCATATAATAAGGTAGAAGGGTTTTCAGATGCTGATTGGGCAGGATCCTCTGTGGATAGACGTCTGTGACTGGTTTTTGTGTTTTTGTTGGAGGAAATCTTATTTCTTGAAAAGTAAGAAGCAACCAGTTGTAGCTAGGTCAAGCGCAGAGTCTGAGTATCGGGCTATGGCACAAGTTACTGTGAGCTCATATGGACAAGACATCTGCTTAGGAAATGGGTTTGGTGACCCAGGGACTATGGACTTGTGGTGTGACAACCAAGCAGCGATACATATAGCAACAATCCAGTCTTTCACGAGAGGACTAAGCATATAGAAGTGGATTGTCACTTTGTACAGAGAAACTTGAACAAAAGTTATTGCTACTAATCATGTTAGGACAGGGGAACAACTAGCTGACATCTTCACGAAGTCTCTAGTTAGTTAAAGGGTAACCTATATTTGTAACAAGCTGGGCATGATAGATATATATGCTCCAGCTTGAGGGGAGTGTTAGAAACCATGTTTATATATACAGTGTAAAGGGTAAGGGTATACTTGTAATTATATTAGTGTGTGTATATATTTTGAGTTAGGGTGTACTGTTGATATTAAGAAGAAATAGAGAAAGTAACATAAATCATATGAGGCTTGGCGAATGTGAAGCACTGTTACCACATGGATATGTTGGCATCTATATTTTGTCTGAAATCTGAAATCTTCATTCTATTGCATCATGCAGTTTTGTAAAGGTTGTCTAGACTGCTACATGTCAAAATATTATTCACTTCGTTTCTTACAAATCTCTTGCAACTCTATTTCTTCTTTGAACATGTTGTAGATTGTATATGGTCTCTCTCAGTTTGTGGTGCCTGTTCTGTTGAACCACCTCTTGCAGGTTAGCTTTTTTTATTAGCCAAGACTTCATTGATAATTTCGTAGGTACCATATCTAAAGGTGCTTATTTTTGTGAGGGAAAAAATATTTTGGCTCCTTTAGCTAAGTATCTTCTAGTACATACTAACAGAATAATGTAGATTCAAATTTGCCTTTCTTTTTGGGAACCCGAATTTGTGATCTCTTGTTATGGCTTGCAGCCAATGCAAAGGGGTGATCCTGCCTGGATTGGTTATGCCTACGCCTTCTTAATTTTCGTTGGGGTGGTAAGACTCTTACTTGCTCTTTCTCTTATTATTTCTTTCTATTTTTCTAGTGACATGTTTCGTACCTTCTTTTTGAGTCTGAATACCTTGTTATCCCTTCTGGTGATGTTATTTGGTTGACTTATAGTTCATTCTTTTCAAGGAAATATCTGTGATCTTTTCATTTTTGTCCCTCCATTCCTCAAACCATGTCCTATAGACAACAAATGAATGCCATCTCCTGCATCTAGAATAATTTCAATGCCTGCATAAAATAATTCTTGTGCTTATTCTCTTGTAATTGTATGAGCTATGTACAAATGTTGCAGTTTTTCCTTAAATAGGAAACTGAATGTACATTATTTTTTGAACTTGAAGAACTGATTACTTATGCTGCAATTATAGTTTGTATATTCGTTACTGACAATCTTATTTCACTTGGATCAGTCAATCGGTGTGCTCTGCGAAGCACAGTTTTTTCAGAATGTTTGGTGAGTTGGTTTTCGGCTGAGATCAACTTTGGTAAAAGCATCTCTCTTTGTTATTAAGTCTTGTTAGTCTGTTCTTTTGGTTCTGGTTTGGCTGGTGGCACTAGATTGTGATATTAAGGTTCTTGAATGAGTTGGTCAATATGAAACTATTGCCTCATGTTCTACTATTATTATTATAGGTGGCTGCCATATTTCACAAATCTTTAAGACTAACTCATGAAAGTCGCAAGAATTTCCCTTCTGGCAAAATTACTAACATGATCACAACAGATGCGACTGCACTTCAGGTATGGTTTCTTGTAACTTTACTTTTATATTTTTTACATCTAGAAGATAAATCTTGATACACCTTTGTTTCCTATATCATAATTATCATGAACTAATTAATTTTATCTCAGTAGATAATCTCCTTATATCTACAAAATTTTAGATTTCAAAACATTAAAATCAGTGCATTATGCCCATAATAGAGCATATTGATAGATAATTTGGCTTTCTTAGAGCCTAAGTTCTATTTTTGGGTCTTGATTTTCAACTTATACTTTGGTCGAAAAGGTGTTTGTTAGAACTTATATAGTAAATCTACTGTTGGACTAGCACCTATTTATTCAAGCTTTTTGGTTAAGTGATAACTTATCAAGCTTTCCAGTAGTGGTTAAAGCATACAAGTCTGATCTTAAAGCAGCATGGCAGCATTTTAAAGTCCTTAGTTGCTTGTCAGTGGTTTGAGTTAGATGATTGCACGATAGTCCTAGTGTCACTTTTAGATTGGCATCATAATCTAAACTGAATTGCTGGTTCACTTAGCAAGAAAAATCTAAGGCACGTTGAAATGCAGATGCAATGATCTAACATGATGTGATACATTTCAAGATTTCCTGTGATAGAAAGTAATGTTGCCGCAATCTGCAACGGTGCTATGATTTCTTCCCTTTTTTATTACCATCGTTTCCAGATGCCTGGGTTGGGGTTGGGGAAAGGGGATTGAGTTGTTACTAATACATCCTTAACTTCTTTGAGCAAATGTGCCAACAACTTCACGGGTTATGGTCAGCTCCATTCCGTATCACAATGGCTATGGTTCTTCTTTACCAGCAACTGGGTGCTGCTTCACTCCTTGGATCACTGATGCTAGTGCTCATGGTCCCAGTACAGGTAAGAAATTTCTGTCCTTGTCAAATCTCTTTCATTATTTCTGCAGATCTTATTTTGTNATGATGAATCATACTTCTTGTTAACATCAATTTTTTTTTTTTTTTTTAACAAATCCCAAATCTTCTCTTTGACATTAATCTTACAACCTAAATATAGGGAAAAATATTTTAGATTTTTTTGGTCTATCACTCACATAATAGAATTTTGATTGGTGAGTTGATTGTATCTAGCAGGTAACATGGAAGTAACTCAGTCCTTTGTCACGAGCTGAAGTTTCACACCCAAAAGGTTAACTCATTAGGTGGAATATGTTATAAAAGCTGGGTTGTTATGGTATTTCAAAATACCAATTTTTTAATTAAATTTTTGGACTGTTATGATTTGAATGTAATTAAAATTTTGGACTGTTATGACTTGAATGCAATTGCAATTACTTCAGTTACTTTACAATTCAAATCATGGTTGGGCAGTTTCATTTTTTTAAATTAAAAATGGCTGTTATGAAAGCTAGGCAGTTTCAATCTTAATAATTAAAAAAATGGTTGTTACATGTAAGAGGCAAGTATAAAAGGGGGTGTTTTATTCTCTTATATGCAGTGACAATTTTCCTACTTGAGATAATTTTTATTTTTTTCCAGCTCCACCACTTCTATTTTATCTTATACTGTTCTAAGCTTCGATTAAAGAGTGCACTTTAAATAGAAGCTCGTCATTGTATCCTGGAGGTTGGTCTGCATCTGAGCCATTTGCATCGGGAAGATCCTTCTAGTGGGGCGGAAATCTTATCTTAAGGACAGTGCTTTTGCACGCCTTGACGCTGCTATGTTCGTTGTTGTTTTGCTGTTGTGTTCATTGCTATTTTGCTGCTGTTTCGCTGTTGTGTTTGTTGTTGTTTTGCTACTGTACTTCTACTGTTTTTCTGTTGTTTTCCTGTTGTTCTTCTACTGTTTTGCTGCTAATTATTATTAAAATTCAACAATCTTAAGATCAAAATTTTATCAAGATGGACGCTGCAATTCTCACCACCAAATCACTTCCTGACATCTCCAAAATTGAGCCTTTCGCTAGAGCTCATTTCAAGAGGTGGCAAGAAAAAGTATTCAACTACCTGGACGTGCTCGGTTTTGCAAAGTATCTCTCAACAAAAGAACCAAAACCTGGAGTGGACAATTTTGACAAAAAACTTGATACATGGAAGAAAGGAAATAAGGTATGTCGCCATACTATCCTCAGTACATTATCAAATGAGCTTTGTAATGTTTATTGCGCTTATAAGACTGCACATGAGATATGGACAATCCTGAAAAAGAAATATGTTGTTGAGGATGCTGGATCACAAAAATATGTCATAGGAAACTTCCTAGATTTTAAAATGGTAGAAGAAAAATAGGTATCCATGCAAGTCCATGATTTTCATTTATTGATAAATGATTTGAAAAATGAAGAAATAATTCTTCCTGAAACTTTTGTGGCTTGTTGTTTAATTGAGAAACTTCCAGATTCATGAAGAGATTATAAGAATAGTATGAAACATAAGCAGAAGCAAATGAGCTTAGAAGATGTGATAGTACATATTAGGATTGAGGAGATGAATAGGCTTAGAGATAAAGCCGATAAGGCCAAGTAGGGGTGGGAAAAACCAGCTAACAGAACTGGTTGTGACATTTTTCAAACCGAACAGAAAAACCGGTTCAAGAAAAAATCCAAACCAAAACCAAACCAAATTAGTGCTTAAACCAATTTTAAACTAGACCGAATAATCGGTTTGAAAAACCGGTTAACCGATTTGAACCGAATTTTAAATTAAAAAAAAATTAATCTTCTTTGAATCAAAAGTATTTCGGTCTGAGGCAATAACAGATTTGATTATCTCAGGATTGATCTTGGAATGGCGCCCTAAAGGTCTACAAAAACTCATAACAATAAGTTCTAAATACAATAACACAAGAAAACAAATTAATCAGAAATACAGATTGGAACGAGAAGCCACGTACCTCAAAAGTTTCATTGATGATGAAGAAATTTCTAGAACTGAGATTATGAGGAAGTTGTTTCTTTCCTCTCCATGCCAAAGAACTTAAGTTCAGTCGCGAGAAAGAGAGAGTATGAGAATGGAATTTGAATAGTTAAGAGAAAGAGGAGAAGGCTAAAGTGGGAGAGAGATTGAAGAAGCACCAGCCCCGAGGTACAAATCTACACATGAGATGTAGAAATGAGAGAGAGAGAGAGAGAGAGAGAGAGAGAGAGATGCCTAGGGGTTGGGTTTGGTTTGACTCGTAAATGTAAGCTGAACACTTTCCCATGTTCTTGACAATATTAGACAAGACATTTTTCCCCTATATTAAATATATATATTTTTTTTTTTAAACCGGTTTTAAAATCTGGTTTTGGGTAACCAGTTTGAAAAAATCCATAAACCGTACCGGATAATCAATTTATGAAATTTTGAAAACCGAAACCAAACCGATTTACAAAAAAACCGAATTTTTTATTCAGTTTCGGTCTGGTTTGGTTTTCGAACTTTTTTTCCCACCCCTAAGGCCAAGGAATTAACATCCAAGGCTAATGTTGTTGAAAATCAAGTGGCTTCTCCTCAACCTAAGAATAAGAAACCACAGGGTTTTAAAAACAATAACAAGAAATTGTTTAATAACAAAAACCCAACAATTTCAAAAAGAAAGGACACTGTTTTGTGTGTGGGAAAACCGGACATTTTGCTAGCCAATGCAGATACAAAAAAACTGGAGACAACAAAAATCCTCCTAAAGCCAATCTAGCTTAGGAAGATGATGTTATTGCTGTTGTGGTTGTCTCACAAGTGAACATGATTGCTGAAAAGAAAGAATGGATAATTGATTCTGGGGCCACAAAGTATATTTGTGGAGATAGAAATTCTTTCTATGAATACATACCAGTAAGGGATGGAGAAGAATGTGTTTACCTTGGTGATTCCCGCTCTACTCCTTTTTAGGGAAAGGGGAAAATTCTTCTCAAACTTACTTCTGGGAAAACCCTTTGACTAAGTAATGTTTTACATGTTCCAAACATTCGATATAATCTTGCATCTATTTATGTATTGGGAAAGGTTGGAGTGAAAGTCTCCTTTGAGGGTGACAAAATTGTAATATCCAAGAATGGGGCCTTTGTTGGGAAGGGGTATTGTTCTAGTTATTTAAACTCAATGTACTTAATATCATTATGAATGAAAATGCATCTTCTTCTGCTTATGTTATTGATTCAATAGATTTATGGCATTGTAGATTAGGTCATGTGAATTAAAGTTATCTGAAAAAGATGAAAGAACTTGGTTTATTATCAAATATCAATATTTCAAATATTGATAAATGTGATGTGTGTGTGGAATCTAAATCCACTAAAAAGACTTGTAAACCAATTCTAGAACGAGAAAATGAGCTTCTCGATTTAATTCACAGTATCTTAGAGATTTGAAACAAACCATGACCAGAGGAGGAAAATAGTTTTACATAACTTTTACTGATGATTACTCTAGATATACTAGAGTATACTTATTGAGAAGTAAAGATGAAGCAATTAAAATGTTCTTAACTTATAATAATGAAGTTGAAAATCAACTCAATAAAAAAATTAAAAGGTTAAGAACGGATAGAAGAGGTGAATATGAGTCAAATGACTTTGATTCCTTTTGTAGAGATTATGGTATAATACATGAGACTACACCTCCTTATTCTCCACAATCAAATGGAGTTGCTGAGAGGAAAAACATAACTTTAAAAGAAATGGTGAATGTTATGTTGATTAGTTCTAGAGCACCTTTTAATTTGTGGGGGGAAGCAATGCTTTTAGCTTGTTACACACAAAACATAATTCCTTTTAAGAAAACAAGCAAAACACCATATGAACTTTGGAAAGGTCATGTACCTAAACTAAAATATTTTAAAGTGTGGGGGTGTTTTGTAAAGTCCTAATTCCTGAACCTAAAAGGAAAAGGTTAGGACCAGGACTGTTGATTGTATGTTTATAGGTTATGTTCTGAACAATGTTACTTATAGATTCATGGTAATAAAGCAAGAGGTTGGTTTGTATGATGCAAACACAATCATTGAATCTAAAAACGCAGATTTCTTTGAGAATGTTTTTCCTAAGAAAATCAATTGTAAAAGGTTTTACCTCAAAATAAAACTCATCAAAATTCTTCTGAAAGTTCAGGGTTAGAAATAAGAAGTAAGAGAGTAAGAAAAGCCAAAAGTTTTGGTGATGATTATTACCATGTCTTTCTTACAGAGAATGATCCTCAGCTTTTGAAGAAGCAATGACTTCTCATGATGCATCCCTTCGGAAAGAGACAGTAAATAATAGGGGTGAGCGGTTTCGGGTACCCTGCATTTTTCGGGAGAATCGAAACCAGAACTAGAACCAGAACCATACAGTGCAGGTTCCCAAAAAAAAGAACCGGAACCAGAACCGCACAGTACAGGTTCTTAAATTCAAGGAACTGGAACCTAAAATGCAGGTTCTGATTCCTTTCCCGGGTACCCTGTAAAAAATCAATTACCCTCCTATTAGTTTAAAAAATAACAAAAATACCTTAAAAGTTTACACATACACCCCTAACAAATTTTGATTACTCATTCATTTGTGTCCAATGTGAGTCATAAATCCTCTAATCTCTGGGCAACATTTGAATTCAATCAATTCATCACAATTCACATAAAATTCCTCAATCAAAACCAAAATACAAACAATTAATTAAATTAATTCAACAATCATACTATAAATCTATAATTTTGATATTATAATTAATTAAATTTCTAATCATTTAATTAAGTATTGTACTAATGTTTATAATGGAATATTATAATAAATTAAGTAATCATACTATAAATCTATAATGTAATGTTATAATTAATTAATTTTTTAATCATTTAATTAAGTAATGTACTAATGTAGTAAATTACTAATATTTATAATGTAATGTTATAAATTTGTAATTAATTAAGTAATCATTTAACTATGTAATG